CAGATAACACCCAACCAGAACAGCAGAAAGAAAAAAGAATAAAAAAAAATGAGGATAGTTTAAGAGACCTCTGAGACAACATCAAGCATAACAACGTTCACATCATATGCTGCCTACAAGAGACTCACTTCAGGTTGAAAGATACACACAGACTGAAAGTAAAGGGATGGAAAAAGATATTTCATGGAAATAGAAACACACAAGAAAGAAGCTGGAGTAGCAATACTTATACCAGACAAAATACACTATAAAACAAAAGCTATAATCCCACTTCTGGGTATTTATCTGAAGAAACTCAAAATGTTACTTTGAAGGGATGTGTGCATCCATATATTCATTGCAGCATTGTTTACAATGGCCAAGATGTGGAGACAGCCTGGATGTCTGTCAATGGGTGAATGGATAAAGAGGAGGTGGTGCATATACACAGAGGAATATCGCTCAACCATGGAAGGGAATGGGTTCTTGCCATCATTGGTGGCTTGGATGGACCTGGAGGGTATTGTGCTGACTGGAGTATGTCAGACAGAGAAAGACAGATGCAATGTGATTTCACTTATATGTGGAATCTAAAGAACAAAATTAACAAAACAGAAATAAACTCATAGATACAGAGAACATTTTGATGGTTGCCATCTGGGAGGGGGTTTGGAGGTGGGTAAAGAAGGGGAAGGGATGAAGAAGTAAAAATTGGTAGTTACAAAATAGTCATGGGATGTAAAGCATAGGGAATATAGTCAATGATATGGTAATAACTATGTATAGTGCCAGGTGGGTACTAGACTGTCAGGGGGATCACTTCTTAAATTATATAAATGTCTAACCACTATGCTGTACACCTGAAATTAATATATAATAAACTGAATGTCAACTGTAACTGAAAAATTAAAAAGGGAGAAAGGTGAAGGGCAATAAGTGGTCCAAATTTCCGTATAAAAGAAATAAGTCATGGGGATGTAATGTACAGCATGGAGAATATAGTCAATAATATTGTGATAGCATGGTATGGTGTCAGATGGTTGCTGGACTTACCATGGTGATCACTTCTTTAGGTGTATAAATGTTTAATAACTATTGTGTATACCTGAAACTAATATAATATTATATGCTAACTACATTTTTAATAAAAATCTTTTTAAAAAATGGGCATATGACATGAACAGACACTTTACCCAAGGAGACATACAGATGGCCAACAGATATATGAAAAGATGCTCAACCTCACTAGCTATTAGGGAAATGCAAAAGAAAACCACAATGAGATATCACTCCATACCTGTTAGTATGGCTATTATCAACAAGACAAGAAATAAGAGAAACTGGAGAGGCTGTGGAGAAAAAGGAACCTTCATACACTGCTGGTGGGAATGTAAATTGGTACAGCCATTATGGAAAGCAGTGTGGAGATTCCTCAAAAAATTAAGAATAGAATTACCATATGACCCAGCAATCCCTCTTCTGGGTATCTGCCCCTCAAATTTGAAACCACTTGTTCATAAAGGTATATGCACCCCTATGTTCATTGCAGCATTATTCACAATAGCCAAGACATGGAAACAACCTAAGTGTCCTTCAACAGATGATTGGATAAAGAAGATGTGGTACAGGGGCTGGCCAAGTGGCTCAGTTGGTTAAGAGTTCACTCGAGTGCGAGCTCTAAGCAACTGGGTCGCTGGTTTGATTCCTGGCCCGAGCTGAGCTGCCGCTGAGCTTCCAACAGGTGGCAGGATGGCTCAGCTAAAATAATAAAATAATAAAATAAATAAAATAAAATAAAATAAAATAAAATAGATGTGGTACATATATACAATGGAATGCTACTCAACCACAAGAAGGAATGAAATACTGTCATTTGTGACAACATGGATGGATCTTGAGAGTAAAATCCTAAGTGAAATTAGTCAGGTGGAAAAGGACAAGAACCATATGATTTTACTCATATGTGGGATCTAAAACAGAAAGCAACAAATGAACAAACAAACTGATAGACACAGACAACAGTATTGTTGTTTCCAGTGGGGAAAAGAGATGAGGGGAAGATGAAGAAGGTAAAGGGGGTCAAATATATGGCGATGAAAGAAGACTACACTCTGGGTGGTGAGCACACAATGCAATATACAGATATCATAGAATTGGACAACTGAAAATTATATAAAATGTTATTAACCAACGTTACCCCAGTACATTTAATTAAATAAAAAAATAATAAATAGAAATGCAAATAAAAAAACATGAGACTAATTTTGATAAATAATACATACCTTTATTATAAGTTTTCTTAAAGATGTAATACAGAGGCTATTCACAGAAAATATAAAAACTAAAACTTCCTACAATACTTCTATACATCTTTCCTCTCTCCAAAGTTCCCTACTCATGACAGCTAAAATTCTCTTCTTCTTTTTTTTTTAAAGGTTTTATTGAAGAATTGGGGGAGGGGAACAGCCAAGTTGTTGTCCTTCAATCTTAGTTGTGGAGGGCGCAGCTAGCTTAGCTCCAAGTCCAGTCATCATCCAGCTAGCAGTCAGCAGCTCGTGGCTGCTCAGCTCAAGGCGCCACGTTCAATCTTAGTTGCCAGTGTGCATAGCCCACCATCCCATGCGGGAGTCAAACCATCAACCTTGTTGTTAGGAGCACGTGCTCTCACCAGCTGAGCCATCCTGCCACCTGTTGGCAGCTCAGCGGCAGCTCAACCCAGACACAGCTCACTGGCCCATGTGGGAATCGAACCGGCGATCCTGTGGCTCAGAGCTTGTGCTCTTAACCAACTGAGATGGCCAGCCCTCCTCTTCTTCTTTTAATCCCTAATCCCTACATATTGTTGTCTCAGTTTTTTTCTTCCCACATGGTGTAAAAGTGAGAAGCCATCACTCTTGTGTCACTGCCCCTCAGCCACACATAGACGACAGCTACAGGCCTCCCCATACTACTTCTTTTCTAGAATGGATGTTTCTCTCACACAGAGTATTGTTCTCAAGAGAAATTTTATTATAGAGAATTTCTGGTGAATAACTTTCCCAGCTTTGTTATATTTAAAAGGAAAAAATCTCATGAGAGAAATCCCTGTTTTAAATCACCCTGTCAGATATTAAGTCTCCTGTAGCTCAAGCCCTATAATATACAAGTTAGCTAGAGTGTAATAAGAACTTGTTTTAGCCTATTACATAGCAACTGGGTACAGGAATCTACTTGCTATATTTACTTTTCATTAGGAAGAAAAAAGTTTTTACAAGAAAAAATCTTTTTGAAAGATATTTTAAACCAAAAAAAAAAAAATCTACTGCAATCCTTAAACAAAATGCAGAGGAAAGGGCCCCACAGGAAAGACATTTTATTAGTTTGCTAGGGCTGCCATGACTAAATACCACAGAAGGGGTGCCTTAAACAATAGAAATTAATTCTCTCAGTTATGGAGGCTAGAAGTATACAGCGGTTCTCAACCTTCCTAATGCCGNCAGGGGGATCACTTCTTAAATTATATAAATGTCTAACCACTATGCTGTACACCTGAAATTAATACAAAATAATATCGAATGTTAACTGTAATTGAAAAACTAAAAAAGGGGGAAGATGTGAAGGGGAATAAAAGGTCCAAATTTTTAGGTATGAAACAAATAAGTCATGGGTATCTGGTGTACAGCATAGGGAATACAGTCAATAATGTTATAGCATGGTACAGTGTCAGATCGTTGCTGGACTTATGGTGATCACTTCTTTAGGTATATAAATGTTGAATAACTATGGTGTACACCTGAAACTGATATCATATTATTAGCTATATTTTTAATAAAAATCTTAAAGAAATCACTTAGTCCAAACCTTTCCGAGGAAATGGAGGCACAAGGAGGTGAAGTAACTTGCCAAGGCTGTCCTGTTAGACAGCAGCAACACCTGGAAAAGCCCAACTTTTCGAATTTCCAGTTCAGGGCCATTTTCGCTACCCCCTTTTTTTCTCTCTCTGTCCCAACTAATTTACCCTTTAAATTAAGTAAGAGACAGAATCTAGCAGAGTATTTATCAAAATAGAGTTCACAATCACTTATGTCTGAGTCACTTTGGATGCCTTTACGATTCATCCAGACCTACCGAATAAAATTGAGGCCTGGGTATCTGCATTTCTTCACAAACTCCTGACTGATTCTTATGTGCATTCCATTGAGAACCATGGATCTAGGGTCTACAAGTAGGCAGGTAGCATGTGGCAGGAAATGACCAGTAACTTTTGGCATCACTGAATTTATCTTGAGCATCGAATCCTTCATTGTTCCTTGCTATTTTTCGGGCCAGTCCTGTAGAGCACCGAATGGAGCTAATGATGGCTCTAGGGGTAATTATACTGTCTTTCCTGTTTTCCTAATGCCTGCTCTTGGCATAAGCATTACTATTAATACTAGCTCTTTTTCCCACCTGGAAATATTTATCTGCCGTATTCTGCTCTGCTGTACTTGGTGGAAGGTGAATGAATGCTTTGCAAATATCCTCAAATACAGGCCCACTCCAGACTCTGTTGATACACAGCACATAGCCTCAAAATGTCTCTCAATGAGTCTGCACATAGTTTAGTCAGAGTTCCAATTACCTCTCCACGCAGGTAATTATTACTTCTGCCATTTAAGTGAAATTTCAGTACAGTGCTTATAGCAATAAATTTAGGACTATATTAATGCGCTCCCTGCTCCTATACATGGCATAGGTTGAAAATTACACTTCTGTTGGGATACAACTTTGAACTATTTGTTCTTCAGTATGAATTGAGCTGATAATAAATTTAAAAAAATACCATAAATCTCATTTCCCCCCTCAGAAGCTAACAGACTTAAAAAACCTCCTGAAACCCTAACTCTTAAGTTACCCCACACACAGGAGAGTTGCATATTTTATGGCAGAGTAGTGACTGGGCGGTTCTGTAAAATGACTGATCTATGTTGTAGAACTGTGACGTCATGGCTCTTTGGAAGTCTTCCTGTGGAGTGTAACGGGTTTTGTGGTATATTTTGCAGCATGCTCTTTCCGACAAGGCCTGTGTGAAAGCCTTTGACCCAAAGACAACTTGCTTACAGGAATGCCTTATCACCACCTTCCAGGAAGCCTACTTTGTTTCAGAAAGTTTTGAAGAAGCCAAAGAAAAGATGAGGTAAACTTGTTTTTCTCCGATTGAGAGAAAAGAACTTCCTATTTTTCTGGCTCTGTGTCTTCCTTCTATATCTATCTCTTGTACCAGTGAGGGTTGATTGCATATCCTCCTATCTCTTTTTATTTTGCAGGGACTTTGCAAAGTCAATTACCCGTCCCTTCTCAGTATACTTCAATCCTTACACACAGAGTATTGAAATTCTGAAAGACACCAGGAGTATTGAAAACGTGGTGCAGGATCTCCGCAGCGATTTGAACACAGTGTGTGATGCCTTGAACAAAATGAACCAATATCTGGGGATTTGATGCCTGGGACCAGTGTTATTGCCAGCACGATCCTTTTGGGGCTTAGCAGTCAATATCATATAGCACCAATAAACTTTCTGTGTCATGGCTTGCCTAATCACATTGCAATTATGTATATCTCTACCTACTTGTAACTTACTGTGTTAATGTGTGAAACACCATAAAGAACCCAGTGACAGGTATGAAAAATTGTCTGAAAAATTGTAATATGTTTAAATGTCTTAAATTAATTTGATATTCCTGCTTAGTGTCTTTAACCAAACTGCATCTATTTAAAATTTGTAGCAAATAGCCTTCTTATAGTTCTAGCTTATGACCTTTTCTTTCTCAGATCTGAGCCTTTCCTCTGTGTTCATTAGATAAAATGAAAATAGCAGTGAAACTGTTTCTATATTTTATAGTGTGAGTGTTTTCACAGCATTATTTGAGATAAACTGGGAATGGTATGAATTTCCTGTTAGTTAACAAAGATTCAATATTCTGTTTCAAAAATTGTTGAGGGAACACACTAGTTGGAATGATTTTTAGGTTGAGTACTTATACAATGCAAGAAAAGAGATCCTTTTATAAGTGGAATATATAGGTTGGACTGACCTTGTAGAAACTGAGTTGTGGCATGCTTCCCAAAGTATTTTGGAAGGAAATATTTCCAGAAAGGACATTAGGAAAGACTAAACAGTGGGGAATCAATCTTGGGACTATTAATTTTATGCTGGAATAAATTGAATTATCACGCTCAGGTGTTTAACCCATTTCTCTTAGAGGACAATAAAATCATAGAACTTTGCTTTTAAAGATGTAGAAATTGAGTCTCAGAGAGGGTAAATGATTTGCCCAAAGTAGCACAGTTAGCTGTGCACCAACATTTATATTCCATTGCATATTGCTTTTGGATTGCTAAGAAGCTTAACTTGATATATGTATTTATGTGTAGCCAGAGAAGGGAAACTAATGCTTTTCAAAACTAACGTTTGTCACTGAATAGGACTTGGTTTGTGATTAAGGCTTGCCAACAGTACAGATGTTTCTTCTCACAGGCCTAAACCAAGCCAGATCTCTCTGAGTCTGTGCATTTACCCAAAGTTTGGGTAAACGATAGTGATACACCACAAATCACTGGTCATACTTGCCATAAGAGGTATAATCAAGTGATTAAGTGAAAAAATAAAAAACTGCTGAATCAATGAATGAATTTTATCTTCTGATTTCCACAAAAGACAATACTGTTCCCCTTATTCTGCTTTGGTAGTAAAGAGTCCTGAGCGGAGGAAAGAGGAGACAAGAAAAAGTAGAGAAGGAAAAGATGATGAAATGACTTTTAAGTTAGTAATTCTAAAATATCTACTGCAGCAGTTTCCAAGGATGTTCTTTTAATAAGAATTACAAGCTGAAACTAATTCTAAAAAATGTGTATTTCACAATAAAAAATAATTAAAAAATAAATTAAAAAAAGAATTACATATAATTTTAAACTAATTCATACTCTTATATGGGCACATGATGAGTCAAAAATATTTGGACTAAATATATTCAGGAAGAACATGAGAAAGAGTTAAAACATTCATCAGAGAGAGGGAAAATTAAAATGAAAAATGAATATTGGTTATCTTAACTATCGGGAATCTTTCATTTCTGCAGGATTCTCACAACTACTGAATTTTTGAGAAAGGATTTCGTGGATAGAATCTGAGAGTCATACAATTTAAACACTATTCTAGGTAAAAGAGATAGGGACTTGAAAAATTATTGGTGGTAGAGAAATTATGAGCAAGCTGAACCAAATTAAAAGGATCTAGAATGATCAAGTAGTAGTATTTGAAGTAGTTTTATAGATCTACAAATACATAGTTTCTTACCTGTTGCTTTGCTAGATCTCGATGGTCCTGAGTAATTATTCACTTATAAACACTAATCCAGAATAATAATCCAGAAATTTCCAGAACTAGTTGCTGAATTTTTCAGAGGAGAAAATTAGCCAAGAAACTCGTAATGTCTGCCTTCTGTGTTGTTTCCATGATTTGTTGTTGCTTTAGACACCCTAGCTTTTCCCTCCTAGCCCATGAAAGGGAGCCTCTTAATGAAATGTATTACAGGAGAATTATATTTAATTGTAAACAAATTCCTTCAATAAAAGTCACATTCAAGCTGTCTTCTGATTGGCTTATAGTGGAATCTTCAGTTTTCTTACATGTGCAAAATGTATGTTGTTTCAAAAATAGAAAAGTTGCAAAGTGAATAGGCTTTCCCACAGAGCTTATATAGGTAAATCCAAGGAGGAGGAATTACTGTACTTGATTCTTTTTAGATTTGTTCTTCATCCAGAATAGCAGTTACCATGGTTTTCACTGTGTGAAACAATGGGATCATGGTTTTCATTTGTTGTGAGCATTTAACTTGCAAATGCCATTGCAACTAATGGTGGGAAAAATCCTATAAAATTGAATCGCCATCATAGGAAAAGTGTTGGCAAAGGAAGTCCCCGAATGAAAACAGCACAAGAAAATAATCACAGCCAGCTTCTTGTCATTTCTGATACCTGCTTAGTGTAACCATTTATCTCAATTATGCCTCATGACTCAAAGCTGAATTAAACAGATCCAAGGGCAATTATAAATTTAAAGACTCTTTCTCACTGTCATCTCACGGTGAATCACTACTTTATTTTCGCTTTGCTGCTGACTTTAGTAATCAGAAATCAACCTGAGGTTCCTAGCTAGACCAGGTTTCTTACACATCAGACTTTGACAAAGACCACTGGAATCTGATCAGTCCAGTTTCCTTCTTGAAACATTTTTGTCTGTGATGAGTTAGGATCAGACATCCAGTGTATTCTTGGATGATCAGTTTATTTGGCATAATAGGAACATAATACATTGTTCATGAATTATCTTTTAAGAGTAGGGACCTTTGACCCAAGTTGGTTTACATTTTTTTTTTTTTTTTGGACTTGAGCGGTAAGGGTTGTGAAACTTGGGTTTCTGGCTTAGTATTTATTTACTGTGTAATTTAGAAGTGATGTTTTATGGGGATGATATATCTGTGCTTGTCTGGCTTGCACATAGTAAATGGGCCTGGGCCTAATGAATGTAAAGCATTGCAACGTTTACTAACATGAAAAGTCTGAAATGAAAAACCGCGTGCTTTAACGTGGAAGCAAATAGGAACACGAAGTTTCATTTTCAAATGGAGTCATGGCTCACATCATCTCATTTTCTTCCTTCGAGGAGGAAAACATTAGCACAAGATGTAGTTGTCCTCCAATTCATTTGATCTAATTTTCAACTTGTAGAGAATCAAGTGCTGATGCTTACTCTCATGAACCTTGTCTTACTTATAATGAAAAAGAAGGCAGCCCAGAGTTTTCGTGTGTCTGAGGTTTTTTGTTTTTTTTCTTCTTCTTCAGTTTCCAAAGACATTCTCTTATTTTGGGAAATGATCCTTATGTAGATTGCAATATTTTGGAAAGAGTCAAGGAAATTAATAGTGGGACACTGCTTCTTCTAATATAAGATTTGCATGTGTTCAAAATAAACCAGTTCAGGACATGAAATGGTGGTGTTTTTATAATGTGACTTGGGGTCACAACCATTAGTTCAGTGGTTTAGACCATATTAGTGACTGTATCAGGCACTGTTCTAGACACTGAGGGTATAGTGGTGAAAAAGACAGGAAATTTATGTCCACTCCGAAGTTACAGTCTAGTGGAGAGATACAGGTAACAAATCAGGTTATTTGAGTGAGATAGTGGTAAATCTTATGAAGAAAATTATCAGGGTAATGTGATAAAGAAACTGGAGGCAGGAGTAAGGTGGCTAAGGAAGGTCTTTCTGAACAGATGGCATTTGATGAAGAACCATGGGATGAGAAGAAGCCAGGAATGTGTGGAGAGAGTGTTCCTGGAAGAGCGGGCAGCAAGTTCAAAGGCTCTAAGGCGGAAATGAGGTTGACTCGTTTGAGGAAGAGACAGATTACCATTGGGCTGGAGAGGAACAAGAGAACAGCATGGTGGGGCAAGGATGGATAATACAGGGACCCAGAAGGAGTTCTGTGTACTCTTAATGCAGTGGAAAGTCCTGGAGGGCTGTGAGCAAGACAGGGACAAGATCTGATTTACATTTTTAATGGGTTACTCAGGTTGCTGGGTGGAAACGAATTGTAGGGGAGTTGGAGAGTATGGGCGAGGACGAGAGTGGAAGCAGTAAAACCAAGTAGGGGTCCATTGTAATATTGGGAGTATCTGCAAAGTCCATATCTTGCTGGATCATGGTGGACATTATTTGAAATAGTTGTAATTAAGGTTACAATGTTAAATGATGGGTCAGAACTGTCAGATGAGAACTGGGGGAAACTGGAATAAGTGGTACCTCATTTGGTTATCATTTGGTTGCAGACTTGCTCTGGCCAGGTTTTAAGGACAAAAAGCCAGACTGGAAAGCAAATGCAATTTTTGTGTGTGTGTGTGTGTGTGTGTGTGTGACTCACAGATACTGACTCCATAAGCAAAAATGAAGTAGAGAATAGGTGTTCTTGGTGAACGTTGGTGGTACTGACATACAGGGTAGCTCAGGACAAAAAAACTCCATCACTCCAAGCAAACTACATAGCTGTGCTCACTGTCCACTCTGATTATTTCTGTAGGAATGGGCCATATGAAAGTAAGTGAATTAGTTAAGTCTATTTTCACTCTTCTCGCTGCCTGTCATCTCCCCAAATGTAAATTTCAGATACCCTACAAAGGTTCACTTGCTGTGATTTCTTCTTCTCTGCAAGAAGGATGGGTCTGGCGCAGCAGCTGGAAGCATATTCCCTTCTTTTGGAAAATCACAGTGAGCCTGATGTTCAACCCAAGGGCATCTGTGGTTGTGGTGCCTGCACACAGCATTCTCATAATCCAGTCTGGATATTGAACCACAAAAACATCTGGCAGATGTGGGAGGATAATTTGAAAGCTAGATGGCACAAAGAAATCAAATTCATTTTCTGTCAAAAGCAAATCTTTTAAAAAGATGCAAAGCTAGCTCTCATTAGAGAAAGATCATATTAATTATAGGAAGGTGGTAGGAGTTTCCTAGTCCCTCCTTCCTTCACTCCTTCCAGATCCCGTGCCGTCTCCTTATTTTTTAGTGGTTAATTTCCACAGCACTAGCAGGATGCTGACTCAGTAGGTCTATTATTCTCAAAGGTTTGCAAACCACTGAATACATCTAATGTACAGCCTGCGCGATTTCAGTGAACAGCTAACTTCACAGACGTTGATGAGGCCAATTATTGGCAAGTGAATTTGAAGTGAAGAACACATTAGGCTTGCCACTATAACAGTTATTTGTTTATCAGGATTGATGGAGGCAAACTTCCTTTTGATCATTACATCTGATTGATCCCTGCACATGGCATTGTGAAAAAAATGAGGTTCCCAAGCCAGATAGTTACTTGGAAGAAAAATCTTCACCTCACAAGGGAAGAACGTGTTCCCTTATCCATTTCAGTGTGAAAGCCTAGCCATTAAGTTGGAATGGATCCTAATTAGCCTCCTCACAAATCTCTCAAACTTTTTGGTCTTTCCCATTAAGCGAAACTTAAAAGGAACCTATTTAAAGAAAGGAAGAAAAAGAAACCTAACTTTCTCCCTTCCTCACATATAGTCAGTATCAAAGAAAATAACTTGCAGGGTAACACTTACTGCTGAACACAAGTGCAGACATAGCAATCCTGATTTGAAGTGGCATTGGAAAGTATAATTTGATTCACCCAGCCAAATGATTACTCCAAGAACAGACCATCAGCACGGCCCACGCCAGCACATTTGAATTGGTGATCAGCTGACAGCTAATTGCCAGACAGTCTGCCTCTTGAGCTTCTGCCTGGGAACAGAAAAAAAAAATCCCCATGACTCCTACCTAGCCTGGACAGAGGTGAGTTTCTTTTTTTCCTTTGAGGGAGGTTATCACTTTGCTTACACTGAGCTGTTGTTTACTCAGTACCCGTCCCCTCTTTGTCCAGTAACTGCATCACCCTTTTCCTTCTGTGAATCACCCTGCTATTCCTTATTCATATCTTGGGTGAGCCTCACTCCACCTTTCAGTTGCAGGGGTGGGCTGAAGACAAGGCTTGGTCAACGAGATATTTCCTGCCCCTGCCCACAATGATTGGTGCAGAGGTGGGCCACAACCTGAGGTGGGCCAGTTATGGTCAAACCCTGGACTTTTCTGGGACCATTGGGAAAGAGGTGTGCTGCTTTTTTCTGTGACTGGAAAGTGTTGGTGTGGGCGTCTAGAATTTTTGGAAGCCATGTAGGGGATGCAGGGCCTAGAGTAAGAGATAGGGGCAATGTCTTAATCACATTGTCAAGGTCATGGATTTAGCTGCGCCTGAAGCTAAATGTACCTTTGGACTTCTCAGGTCTGTGAGCTATAAGTGGCTCCTCCTCCCCTGCTCTCATTTTCTTGCTGCTGTCACTGACACCAAGAATGCCAACACCCAGGATGAAAGCACAGGAGGAGAGGCAGGGGATTTTACATTTGCTTACTTCATATTTTTCCTCTTGGTTTGGGAAATCACAACTTCCCAAAGAAGTGCTATTTAAGTTTTTCTTTGGCATAGTCTGTGCCTTAGAAATATGGGATGCCTGACCTGTTTATCTTCCTCTAATGCTGGACTGGATGAGTTCTTCCAGGGAGATGTGGCCTGCAAAATTGTTCAATTAAAGTGTTTAATTAGATTCTAGGTGACTATTTGAGAGTCAATCTGTAGGCCTCCAATTTGTTTCATGGAAAAAAATATTAAGGGAAATTAAATTTTAAATAAATAGATAAGACTTTTTCTGTTTTAGTTTTATTTATTTATTTATTTTTTTATGTAATTCTTAGGAGGATCTGGTTTTCATTAGGATTGGGCACCTTTAAAGAAACATTCTCTCTCAAAGTGTAGTAAAAAGAACATGGACTTTCGAATAAGGTAAACAGAGGTACAAATTCTCATGCTTACTGGGTGGGTGACCTCTACAGACTGATACTCTCTGAGCTTGAGTTTTGTTTTCTGTAAATGGGTATGAGAATACTTCATTTATAGAATTATCATGAAAATTAAACATTATGTATATGCCTAGCCATAAAAATTACTTAACACATG